TCTCACGTAACCAGACAACACTCATTGAGGGTATACTCTTACTCAGTAAATATTCTAATATTTCATATTCATTAGTTGCTACAGCAAAATGTAGTGGTGTACGGTCTTGATGATTGGTTACATTAGGATTACAATAATTATTATCAATGAGATACTTCAATGTATTCCAGTCACCCCTCTCTAATGACATGTGAACTGTTCTGGACAAATTGAATTGATAATTCTCTACCAGATGCTTAATGGCATGAGCATGACCATGTAAAAATAAATAATAAATAGCATCCTGTCCTTTGTTATCTGTTAGGCTCAGACTACACTTGTAATCCTTCACGTATAATTCCAGTAGTAAAATATCACCAAATCTAGCAGCATAATGAATTGGTAGCTTACCATTACTGTCAGCTTGATGAGGATCTAACTGATAGGTAGTTATTAATTCTTTAACAAGAGATAAGTTAAGAGACAGTGAGGCATAATGTAAAGCAGTGAGGCCATCCTTAGTAACTGCAGTAGGAGACAAACCTTGTTCAGTAATAAGATACTGAACTAAATCAAAGTTACCACTCCATGCAGCATGATGCACTAATGTGCGTCCTTCATTATCTGTTTTATTAATATCACAATGCTGTACCTCAATGAGATATTGAGTGGTATCAATATGACCATGACGACAAGAATGATGAAGACATGTCATACCATCATTATCAGTGATATTAGGATCACTGTTATGATTATTAATAAGATATTTAACAGAATTAATACTACCTGACCAGCAGGAGTAGACTAATGGTGTACGACCAGTATAATCAGTATCATTAGCATTGAGATTATACTGAGATATGATATAACTTAATGCACTAGTAGAACCTGACCAGGCAGCATAATGTACTGGAGACATACCACCATTACTTAATGTACAATTGCTCTTATATTCTTCTAATGCTTTCACTAGTAATGTACTGTCACTTTTTGATGCTAAATGAAGTAATGACATACCACCATTTGCAGTGGCATTGATGTCAAAGTTAAGGCAAGTGCTAGCTTTCTTGAGAAGTGAAGAAAACATTTTAACTCTTTCATTTCGTTTAATAAAATCAATGTTTGATTTTATTCTAGTTCCATTAATAATACGAATAACTGTTGCATCACTTTGTGCCAAAAGCTTACAACACACAATACCAGCTGGAAAGTGTACACTTGCATTACATGCCCAACGTAAACCTGACCAACCACTATCATCATTAACTAATAATGCTTCATTACCTTGAATACTAACAATATACTCAACAACTGATGATGAGGCACACCATGAAGCACTATGAAGTGGAATCCTATGAGCTCGATCCTTTATATCAATAGATAATTGATATCGATTTAAAAGATACTTAAAAAGCTCAACATTATTATTCATAGAAGAGTAATACATTATGCCAGATCGATACAAATCTTTTGAATCTGGTGAGAAGAGGTTTAATGATTCAAGCTTGTGGACTAATGCTAACTCTCCACTTTGACAAGCTAACAATGATAAAGAAACACCTTCACAATTAAGCTGAGAAGTATTACAATTTCTCTCAACTAAGAATTCCACTAGGTCAGAATGGCCCCCCATTGCTGAGTACAGTAATGCAGTGTTATTGCTATTGTCTGGTTGATCAGGAGGAACGTCACACATGTCTACTAGATATTGTACTATAAATAAGTGGCCTTTATAAGATGCCATATGTATACTAGATACACTATTATCATCACCTTCATTAGGATCAATACCATATTGATGGATGAGTAGTTGAAGGATCTCAATGTGTCCACCATATGATGCAGAGTGTAATGGGGTCCAACCACAAAGACCACGATGATATGTGTTGTCACTGAACTTGTTAAGAAGCCATTGTACTTCATCTTTTAATCCTCTCCAAGCTGCTTCATGTAATGGTGTACTGGTATTCTCATACCATAATGGATCACATATATCTATAAATGAAGAATATTATTAGTAATACAAGTTATGTATGGAGGGATTGACTAAAGGTCAGTTCATGTACTTACCAATATCAGTGGATGAGTGCTTAGCCTCTTCTATTGAGAACTGGAAAATCAAAAATAGTATTAAAACTGTATTTATAATCACAAACCTTTCTAAGATCATATTTATCTTCACCACATTGTAGTTCAGTGATACCAATACTAGCTAACTGTTGCTGTAGCTTTGTAGTTAGAGGAAATAATAAAGAATAAAGATACTCAGGAATGAGGTAACCCAAACAGAGAGAGCCAATGTGAACAAAACTGAAGTAAAGGTCATATTCAGGAATATCCAAACCTTTTGGTATTGCTCTACGAAAGAAGAATATGTCATCCAAGTGTGTAGTCATCTCTGTCAACTTTAGCAATCATTACTCGTGTACCAGGAGGACACACTTTTACACCAAACTGTACAGCATCAGCATCTTTCAATAGT